AATCTCTTTCTTATACACACATGTGTGTCCATGGATTTGTTTCTCTAGCCTACCCAGACTAACACAGGCTCTAACGACAGCCTCCCGCCCCCCATTTAATCATGCCATGCGGGTCACATGCCCATGTCGGGACACATCCAGTTTTATACCAAAAGAAGAAGAAAACTCACGTCGACGATGATGGAAGAGACGTTGTGTTGGATGAAGTCTTGAGCCGAGTCCAGAGAGACGGTTATCTCCTTCACTCTTGCCTGGAAGACACAGCGCCGGAGGGAAGGGGTCAGATGGGCATTGGCAGCAGGGTGGGCACAACACTCTCAGCCTCATGCCACCGCTTGCCAGCTGAGGGGACCACACCTTCCAGTCCTGGGCCTGGGCAGGCAGAGGGGCAGGAGGTGAAGGCAGAGGGGCTTCTTGTTTGGGGCCCGCTGCAGGCTAGCTTCATTACACCAATGGCTCCCCAGGTGGGCAGTGCCGCCTCCTCACTGCCATCAAGTCAATTCTGACTCAGAGCAGCCCTGCTGGGCAGACTGGGCTTGTCCCTGTGGGTTCCCGGGACGTTAACACTGTACAGGAGCAGAAAGCCTCCTCTTTCTCCCGGGGAATGGCTGGTGATTTTGAACTGCAGCCGAACATGTCTTCCATGACAGCACCAAGGCTCCTGGTACTGCCCTCTGGGGCACGGGGACAGTCCGGGGGGGTGCTGCGCAAAAGGATACCTCTACACTCTGACCTGGATAATGGGCTATAGTATGAAAGTGTTTGATTGCCAGGGGAGCACTGACTGTATATCTATTTCCTCTGTAAAGGGGCCTGTAGGTCCAATTAGCTGAAGGATCTGTGCTTTATACAAATAGGCAGGTGTGGAGGTTTAATTTTATATCACCTTTACCCTGTGTGACAGTGTAGGTTGAAATCCTACCTATCGATCTAGTCCCAGCTGATGATGTCGTGTGGGGGTGGGGGTGGCCTTTATGACAGTGAGGATTTCTCTTCCTCTCTCGGGCCCTTCTTTGCCTTCCTCCTCCCTGGGATTCTGTGCCTGCCTCCAGAAGCAGCCCCATCTGGGTCCCCTGACCCTGGGAGCTTCCACCCTGCTGTCTTCCCACTAACCAACTCTGCACCCATTGGCCCCCTTGTATCTCCCTTCACCTTTTTGCATCATCAGCCTGCAGCCAAGTCACTCAGAAAAGGACTCTGGCTAGCTTCAGACCCGTC